TTGCAATTACGTTATAAAGATATCTTGTGAATATTGTACTGTAGGAATTTAATTTCAGTGATTTAGATAATATAAGTCAGACCCATTTCTGGCCAGAAAATTTCAGCTGTTACATTCTCCACTCTGATGACTTGCTTGGCTGTTTTCCCGTGCTAAACAAGGTGCCTCGTGGTCTTGTGTATTTCTTCTCAGGTCCTGACACATCTAATTTTCTATGTAGTTAGTGTCTTAACGGTGAAGAGAGGAAGAATCCTGGGTCCCCATTGCGATCTCCAGAGCAGACGTGGGGGAGGGACTTGAGGGGAGGGCAGTTTGGCAGAGGCCCATGCACTGTGGATGGCACTGAAGGATGAAGGGTGCAGCTGAGCCTGGTAAAGAGAGGTGGGGAAGGTGCCTGCTTGTAGCTCGGGAAGTATCATAGAGTGAATTGATCTCCTTAGGAGAACCTCAGACAGTGATCTCAAAATACAGCCTGGTGTGTTTTTGTGTGTGTGTTGGGGGGTGGGGGCTGATTAAAAAATTGGGATAAAAAATATTCAGGAGAGTTTATCATACAGTTGTGGTTTAGGTACTCTCCTAAAATCTGAAGATTTTGTAACACTGGCCCCTCATCACAAAGGATAGCAAATTCCCTAGTTGTAGGCAGCACAGTACACACTCCAGACTTCTGACATGTACATCCCTGATTGGCTTCAATTATTTATGTTACTTGCAATTGCCAAAGGCTGTTTGAGTTTGCCAGCCCTGGATTTGAATCTACAAAGCTCTTAGGTAGAACTGGATCCTTGACGGGGAAGACATTCCGAAGCCCTATTGAGGGGAAGACCAGCATGTACATCATCAACTTTAAAAACAGCTAATGTTAGGCAGCATTTAGTGTGTGCCAGGCCTTGTGCTAAGCATTTCGCATGGATTATCCCCTTCAATCCTCATACACCTATTTTACAGATGAGAAAACTGAGATGTGAAGAGGTTAAGTACCGGTTATTCTGCATTTAGGTTGCATTTTATTCAGCTTATCCTCTACTAGGGACGATTCACTATTCAAAATAAATCCTTACCAGGATTGGCTGGTATTTCTGCTTAGCAATGAGAGGGGTCTAGCATTTGGCAGTGGATCAAAATACCAGTTTCAAGGTCACTCAGCCTGGTAGCTTTGAAGTTATGCTATTCTTGACAAATTTTTAAAAATGGATTCATATTGATTGTAGATTTTGCCAATAAAATGAGACTTGATTACTGTCTTAATTTGCTGAGTTAAAATTTGTGTAAAATGCCACTCTAACTTGTTTAAGAACAAGTCACACTGGTGAGTCTGACTCTGAAGTCATGAGCCATCGCTCATATGTTCCTGTGAAAATCTATGTTGTTGATTGTTATTAGAGAAGTAAAGATTCTGAGTGGAGGCTGGGATGGGCCAGATGTACCCCCTTCCCAACTGTGGGTCTAAAGGGACCATCATTGCCGGATGGACAGTGGAGGTCGCTGGTGCCAGTTTTTTGAAGTGGTTTATATGTGTGGTCAAGCTGTGGTTGGTTTCGATTAAGAGCATTACATTGAGGCACAGGGATGGGAATTTTGGACTTCCCTTTTTCAACTTTAAATTTGGGATTGGTGAGATACAGTTGCTTATGAAGCCAACTCAATAGTAACTCTTAACAGAAACATTGTTTTCTTTTCCACATGAGGCATTGAGGAGCAGATTTTGTTACTTGAGTTTGGCTGTTAAAGTTCTGTAAGTCTGTGTAGGTTTTCGAAGAATCCTTACGCATTTTCTGCCTGCCCATGGCTGCCTAGGTATCCAAGAGTACATATCTCTGGTCTTGAGCCAGTCTCTGAGCCTGGGAGGGGTTCACCTCTCCACTCATCTGCTTTTGCTGCAGAGCCATGGAGAGGCTTCTGGAGATGGTGAGGGGTGGTCCACGGTGGGGTCAGAGAAAGAAATGATAAATGCATAAAGGGATGTGTGGATTTAACTGCACATCCAAGAATAGGACTATGGGACTAAATTGTATGTGCTCTTGCAGGTTATACTAACACATTATTAAACTTGTATACATTTCAGATACAAATCCAGTCAGGAAGTTTTGGCAAATAAGTCTGCAATAAACAAGACTTCCTCCTGATGGGTGTCAGTGCTACTGCTTGGCCTGTTTGCCACATAATTGAAGTACCCTGGCTCTGTTCTTATTGTTCTGAAGCACTCTCCTCCTTTATACACTAAATCCCTTCCTGGGCTTGATGAGGTTTGGATGGCAGCTCCATTGAACTGATCGGTTTCCGGAGTTTGTTTCTGCCCCGTGCATGATTTGGCACAGAGATGTGTGACTTGTTATTGAAATCAGCCTTGCTTCTTAGTGCGTCCTTAGCCTCCTTGTTTTAGGCTGTGTCAAAGACCAACAAATATTGGGAATATGCCCAAGTCAAGGCCCATCTCCTATGGCTCTTGTCCAGAAAGCACTGACAAAATTGGCCTAAGTAGTTTCGACTGGCCCACTGAGGCCCACAGCGATTTCCCTCCATTGTCTGGAACTTGATGCTCTGGTTTCAGGAACCAGGAGAGAGGGCGAAGATTCACTCTGGCCAGAAGAATTCTCTCTGTTTCTCTCCCTTAAGCAATCAGAGACTTTGCTGACACTTAGGAGTTTTGTCCTAATAATAAGTCCCTTGGAATGTGCTAGCTCCTCTTCTATGTGTGTGTTTTATAGATGTAGCAGTTTGCAAAGGATGTACTTTTGTGAGTTTGTATCTTTTTTTCAGTATTGAATCTAAGCTGAGTCCTGAGGCAGATAAACACTTCCTAATGCCCTGAAGACCTCTGATGTTTCTTCTGGGGCTAATGCTTAGATAGAGTCTTAGATCTTGGACCGTCAGAGGCCAGGGAACCCAAGCCCTTCTTTACAGAAAAGAAACCAAGCGGGATCACATGATTAGTTGCAGAGTGAATTAGATGGCAGACATCCAGACCACTGACCTTTTCCTAAGGGTAGAACTGTTTAAGACTATAAGATTATGTAGCCTTGATGGAGTGCTTTTTTCTTCTTTTCAGGGCTTTATAGGAGGGAGAGGCCGAGATGGTAGGGAATCCAGCCTATAATTGTTTGTGGCTTAAGTGACTTTCATTATTGGCTCAGTGGTGGCTCTTATAATCCTAAGAGCTGCTTCCAGGGGTGGGTAATTCCCTAGTCATTACAGGTGACTTCATTTATCTCTTCTTCCCCAGCTAGGCTCAACATTTCTGTCTGCTGCCAGTCACCTTTCCCCAAGCTAGCCTTTGCTTGGTGGTACCATCATTTGTTAAATCTTGATTGCAGTAGCCTCAGAAGTCCACCTCTGAAGGACGTTCAAGCTAACAGCCTAACTTCAGCTCTAAGATGACATTGCATTGACATATTAGATGTGCAAGGGCAGGATAGGGGGATTGCTAGCTGCATGGGGATATACAGTTTGAGAGACATGGTGATTTAAGCCTAAGATCACTGTAAAGCCAAGTTACCATTCAGCTGTACTTTTGTTCTAGTATGCGATGCGTGTGAAGCCTTTAGATTACATGCCCGGTTCATGTCGTCATGCCACCACTGGGAGTGACTTGGCACCCATGGCATTGAAGCTGTGCATTAGTTTGGGCTCTGCCTGACTGATTATTTTACCAGTGAAACAACCTTGCCATTTATGAGGGAAAATGTGAACTGGATTGCTACATATATGTTTCTTTTGAGGAGAGAAGAGGCAGAGGTAATTATGTTCATTTATTTATTTTAACGGAGGTACTGGGGATTGAACCCAGGACCTCGTGCATGCTAACCGCACACTCTACCACTGAGCTATACCCTCCCTCCTGCTACATATATGTTTGAAGATATGCTTTGGAAATGACAGAAATCTCTACTGAGCTAGGTAGAAAGTAAACTTATTCTTTAGAGGAAAGAGCCATTTGCTAATCATACATTTATTTATCAAATTTAAACAGATACCTTCCGTGTGTTAGGAACTGTTCTAGGCACTAAGAATGTATCAGCAAACAAAATAGGAAAAAATATCCCTTCTCACATCTTGTGTTGCCAATATCTTCCCTGCATGTGTCTCATCCTTATAAAGATATTTTAGAAATAAGGCAGTGTTCTGTGAAAAGAACTGGCTTTTTACACTTTGCCTATTTTTTTTCCTATCCCTTGCTATAAATTTTCCAGGAAACAATTAGAGGTTTGTTACCCTCTTCATAGTAATTCCCTAATAGTAATTTTCAGTAGGATTTTTAGTACGGCTTTCTGCTTTATTTCTCCAGCTGGTCAATACAGGTAGTGCTTGGGCAAACAAAGAGAACTTCAGGTTATCACCTGATTTGATAATTGTCAGTAGGAAGAAGATAAGCATAAAAAACATTAAGATGTGTCTCTGGCTTTTTCTAGAACTGGATCTGACTGTTGTCTGTGTGAACAGTTTGGGGCACAGCTTCCAATTGAACTTTCCTTTCTGTCCTAAGCTTTTTTTTTTTTTTTTTTGAGCAAGGCTAACCTTTTTCTTCTTCATGATTGGTTCCTGTCTCTTTGTAAATGCAGGTATCTTTAGCCATTGATTAAAGACAGTAAGTGATTCAGTGACTGAGGGGCACTAGTTATTAATAAGGCGTAGTCCCTTAACTCCAAACCTAATGATGCTGATTTTGTGGGTCTAGAGTGGGATGCCAGAACCTGCTTTTTCAAAAAGAAGGATTGCAGAAAGGCCAGGCGTCCTAATGCCAGTATCAATACTGTCTAAGTTGTCCTAGGGCTGTGGGAGTGCTGTTGAACTGCCTTCCACTGGGCTGAGCTGTAAGGTGTGACTTGGCTGTTAATCCCATATGCTGAAGAGTCCAAATGTGTACACTGTGCATGCACCTAAGAAGCCAGTGGCCACCTGTGTCACACAGCACCCGAGAGAGGCTCTATTACTCAGATGGTCCCCGATGGGAGAAGACTGTCTTAGCTTCGTTAACCAGCTTCCTTGGGATTTCTCCACAGGCGATGGTGGCTTGCTACCCAGGAAATGGAACAGGTTACGTTCGACACGTAGACAACCCCAACGGCGACGGCCGCTGCATCACCTGCATCTACTACCTGAACAAGAATTGGGATGCCAAGGTACTTGGAGTAATGGGAGAAGAGTGGGCTGTTAGAAACTACAGGGAAAAAATTCAGATGACTTAGAGGGGAGTTTGGAGTTCATAATTCCCATTCATGACTCTTTTCTATTGCATATTTTCCTTTTTCCCTCGTATGGTATTAGTACTGAAGTTGACGAGATGAAAATAATAGATAGAAAGTTAATTTGACGAGAGGGTGGGTGGGGTCATTATTAGGTTCTGGGAGGGATGGTTGGTGAAGAGAAGGTACTTTTTTATTTTAGAAATGGGGATTCAGTTTTTTTCTAGTCTAATCCAGAGCTGATATGACTCTCAGTGCTGAATAAGATACATACTTTTCCCTGCCAGCAGCAACATTGAGAGAATTTCACAAAAATAGAACCGTAGGATATAAAACCATCCTCAAGCGAGGTTTCCCACAAAGTCCCTTTCTCAGGGTAACGTGTCTCATTAGTGGCCTCTTGCCATGGTTTACTGTGGTTTGTGAATGCCAAAGGCTTTGTGGCTTATTTTTGTATTTTTGAACGTATGGGCAGAGATATGAAGTCTGGTTCCACGCTTACAAACATTTGTCTGGAACTTGTGTGATTTTGGAAAGTTAAGGATGATTTAGAAGTCTGAGAAGTTGGAGAACTTTTTAAGCTTCTTTGGCTTTTGAACCTTCTGCATCTCCATTTCCTGTTCATTAGAGCAGATACTGGCTGTCATAAAGCAAAAATATTTTGTCTGAGGTCAGAAAAACTAAACCTGGGAAACCAATGAATCAGCAACAAGGCTTGTGTCTGCTCCCTATTTGGGTAACATGATTGGAATATATCCCTTAGTTGTCCTCGAAAATCTTGAAAGGTGGCATCATAGGAAGGGAGTAAAGTCAGATAAATAACAATAAATCACAAAGTGTAAATCATTTAGCAAATATTTGAGTGCCTGCGGGTGCCAGGCATTGCGCTGAGGGGAATCATGGATGGGTGAGGCCTTGATATGGTTATTCTAGTAGTACAGATTGGGTGTACATATAAAACAATAAGGTAATTCAAGGAAGAGAGTGATACATGTCATAAAAGATACAGAGTCTATGAGTTCAGAAAAAAGAGCATGTAACTTCCAACTGATGAGGTCACAAAGGAGGCAGGGGAGTTCAAAAGAAAGCTGTAAATTCTAATTGAAGGGGAGGTTGTGAGCTGTTAATATTAGACTGAGCCACATGAAATTGCTGCAGGAGGGGTGTAGGTCAAAACAGTCAAATACTGGCAATTTGGCATGATTTGACCTCCCAGGACTCCATTTTTGTATCCATGGGCCTCGTTATTGTGGGAGTGGGAAGACTTCATTTGGTACGAGGTGAATAAGGAGATATGTCTAGCCAAGTCTGAAATAAAATTTTGTACAAAGTGTGAGGTAAAAATCGGGGAGTAGTATATGCTTGGAGCCAGGGGTGGAAGATGGCTTGGCTGAAATATCATTGTTACTTAACTGTGTGCGAGGCCAGGAAATAATCTGCCTTCTTTGCGGCCCTCAGCTACATGGCGGGGTCCTGCGGATATTTCCAGAAGGGAAGTCGTTCATAGCGGATGTGGAGCCCATTTTTGACAGACTCTTGTTCTTCTGGTCAGACCGCAGGAACCCCCATGAAGTCCAGCCTTCCTATGCGACCAGGTAACAGCCGGGGCCACAGCTCCTTTTGAGAAACTTCCTGTACAAACCCCAGTTCCCAGAGACTTCTCTAAACTTGTGATGTATGCATATGAGGGACCAACCACCCCTCAAAGGTGATAGCAAACCTGTTTGAAGTCAATAAAAATTAAAGGAGAAACTTTGGATTCTTTAGTACACAAAACCTAACACCAGTCTGAACTGTTAACAAATCCGTTATCCGTGCAGCTGATCATCTTGGATTCCAAATTCCTCAGAGTGTTTTTCTCTTCTCTCCTTATTTCTCCGCCCCCTCCTTAAGAAACCTAATGTTGAACTACCTCTATACATTGTTGGCTTGTCACATAGCAGGAATTCTGTCTAGTTAACTCTGGATGAGTTTATGAGATGATAGTTGCAAGCAAAGAAAGAACCTTGAGAAAAGAAAGAGAAATTTGTTCAGACTTCTTCCTTTTTACCCTTTCCTTAGCTTAAAATTAGTTTGGGCTCACTTGTATCCATCATGTCCAACAATTGGGTTTTTAAAACTTTTTTTAAGACCATGCATGGGAAGATTTTTAGAGCAACTGAACAACTTAATACTGTTTAATATTAATCTAGAAACTTTTTTTTCAATTGGTGGGGGCCGGGATTAAGTTTCTTTTTTTATTTATTTCATGGGAGTACTGGGGGTTGAACCGAGGACCGTGTGCTTGCTAATCACACACTCTACCACTGAGCTCCCCCCTAACCTAGAAACTCTTGATATAATCTTAATTTCTGATTCTGCTTCTCATTTGCCTTTATTTTATGGCCAAAGCTGTAAACTAGGTAGTATTGGAGCTCTGTGGGGTGCAGGTGGAATTGGGAATAGCAGTTGCAGTCAGGGAGGAGAGAGTTTGGGTAGAACGATAATGACTAAACCTTAACAAGCATAATTAAATTAAAATCACAGGTGTAAAGTGCTCAAGGTTTATGTGTCCCCCCTCCAGAAATCACAGATCTGAGCCCCGTACAGAGTTGCATATGAAGTGTCAAATTGGGATGTGCCCTAAGTGAGTGGGTAACTAATTCTACCCTCAAAGCCTGCTTGTGGCTTGTTTAATGGGGTAAGTAATTGGACTCTCATTTGAGAAGAATTCCCTTATTCCCCAGTTCCTCCATGACCAGAGTCACAGGGGAAACATTAGCAAATGTTGACGGGAAGCCCTTGGAAAAAAATCAAGTGTTATAGAAATTCCAGTAGCTAATAATAATTAGAAAATGAAACTTTTGGAAAAGTCATGCAAGAAGTGGCTCCCGTTACAGCCTATCCCGCGGATGGGATAAAGCAAATGAACGGGGTGCAGTAGAGAGCTTGAGGGCAAGCAGTATTCCATTTCCTCTTTGCCTCAGGGTCCACAACTAAAGGGAAAAGCCAAGAGCTTTACATGGCCTGTCATTTGCTAAGTTATTCTCCAAAGCTTCACTCAGATGTCGCCTCTTCCTCTCTGCATGCTGTCCACCAACTCAGGTCCCTCAGTCTTTAGCAGAATGACTCCCTTCGAGTCCTTTTCATGTAGCTCATCCTGCCCTGTTAGAGCATTTGTTAAATCGCCTTTCTCCCCTGCTGGAGCCAGATGGAGTTCCTTGAGAAAGAGGCTGATGTATTCACACGACCATTTGAATTCCCATCGCCCAGGATAATGCCTGGTGCATACTTGGAATTCCTCACGTGTTTTATTAAATTTAAATAGACTTGCAACCAGAGAAGTTTATTTTAAATTAAAATTGGGATGGACTTCTAGTAATAGGAAAAAGTTTTAATGTTGGCTTTACAAATGACGGTGATGTGAAATTTATAGTGAAGTGTTTTGTATTTTCTGGGAGTATTTTAAGGTCTCTTTTCTAATATGTTTATCTTTCACAGATACGCCATGACTGTTTGGTACTTTGATGCTGAAGAAAGGGCAGAAGCCAAAAAGAAATTCAGGAATTTAACTAGTATGTGTTCGATAATTTTCTGTGACTTTTTGATCATGTTAATTCTTGACTTTTATTCAAGACCTTTATATATATTCTAATACACCCTGTTTAGTCTCAGCTGTGGCTTAGCTTCACCTGTATCGACATTTTGACCAGCTTAAATTCTGGAACCCTGGCCTTAGCTCTGCTGGAAAAATTTTTTATAGTGTGAAGGATGGCCTTCACACTATAAAAAGAAGGCCATCCCCTGTTAATGCCCTCAGCTTGTGTGACAGTTTATAATAGATGGGAAATAGTTCACTTTTTATCATTAATGTTTGTCCATCAAACATAACATTAAATTTTGCCTATGATTTTGGCACAATACAAAGGAAATACAATGAAACCAACCTATCATGGTTCATTTATTATATTGGTACGGGACTGTGACTCTCAGTATAAAAACTGGGCTCATGTAATATAAACTGAATATAACTTAATGCTGTTCCTGTCCTCTCTAAGCGGTATCGCAAGGCAGCATTGCCTAAAATATGTTGCATTGAAACACAAGTGAGTTTGCGAGAAGGTAAATTCCTGGTGCCTCATGTGTGGGAAATGTTACATCCTGTATCCCTCCCTTGAAGAATCACAGTGTTCACGGGCATAATAATCAAGAAAAATTAGTCTAAGAAACCCTACAGTAAAGACGTATGTAACATTGCCTAACCCATGACCCATCTGGACTGTATACCCAGCAAACACCAAAGAAAACACATTTTGCCAAAGCCCTGTCAGGAGGCGTTGTGCTTAACCTAGATCTGTAAGATGACAAGCATTTGTGACATTAAACTCATCAGATCTGGCTCCTTACCCTCTTCACTTTCTTTTCTGTCCCCAAACCAGGGAAAACTGAACCTGCCCTCACTGAGGACTGACCTTGCTCTGAAATCCGCTGGCCTCGTTCATTTTAGTAACAGTTCCTGAATTCTCTTTAAGAGTTGAGATCCAAAGAAGGCTTCTTCTTCAGCGACTTGGTGACAAGAACCCCCCCTTACTGCTTGCATCATTCACACCCCTGTCTTGCGTATGGTACTTTGTGTTTTCTTGCCAAGACTGCATCCACCTTCAGACACTCTTTTTGCCAAATGAACTCATTTGCTAACTCCAGAAATACCTGCAGACGACCTAGCTGGCCAGCAGTCTAATTGATAGATTTGGTAATCCTGGTTGTCAAAGCAAGATCCTGGAAGCGCGGGCAAGGGAATGCATCTTACTTGCACTTTATGTACACTTCCTGATTCAAAAGGAGGAGGTTTGCAAAGAAATAAAATGGTGACAGATGCCACAGAGAGGTATCACTGAAGCCTTAACAGCAGGAAACGGAAATTTGTGTCATAGGAATAATTTCAAGATGTTCTTAATCCAGGGCTGCCAGGTTTCTGGAGAATTATTACAACCTAATGACACTATTACCTCTAGAAAGGGCTGCTTAGCCCTTTTATACTTTCAGTCATCCATTTGTAAGTATCCTGTGGGTGGACACTCCTTTTTCCTGGTCCTGCAGCCTGGACTTTCTGCCTCTTTCCCATTTTGCTGAAAATACGATTTTCTGATGAAAGATGGCAGCACCATTTATTTCCTATGTTCGTTTCTTACTTGGAGAACCTAAGTCCTCTGAGGCAGAAACTAGACACTCATTGCTTTGTTGCTTTGTTGAAATAAAATTTGAATTTAAAGCAAAAGAGGAAAAAATCTTCCTGGTAGTTTAGAACCAACCACCTCTGATACTGGTGTCAAAAGCCCTGGGTCTACCTATGCACAATGCACTGATGCATCTTGAATAATTTGAGTTTGGAGATGGAGTTGGAAATGTGGCCATTCCTATTTTTTCAGTTTTTGTTTTTACTGAGCTCACCCATCTTCTTTAACAAAATAAGAAAATAACAACAACAACAACAAAAATTGGGTACTGTATTTTAAAAAGGAAATGGAAATAAAACAAAAAATCCTGAAAAGCTGCCTGGGTTCTTCCACATTTTCTGTCCCCAGTAGCCCTTTTTCGACAGACTTGACTCTCCAGATCCACTGTGGTTGGCACTGTGGCCACAATCCTGGAATTTGCTAGAACCGTGGTAAGTGCAGATTCCACTGCCTCAAGAACCCTGTACTGAGCTCCAATTCTATGAAAGTCACTCTTCCTAGTTTTCAGTTCCATTTTCATATTTTTAAAATCCCTGTAATTTCTTGCTTGAAAATCCCATGAATATTAAGTGGCCAGAAGTATTTTGTCACTTACAGATTCACAGACTTTCCAAGAAAGAAGCATATTTTTTGGTGTGTCTGGTTTTGGAAAATTTCCAGATAAGGCTTGTCTTCATTCTCACGACTGCTCTATGTTTTGTTTTTTTTGTTTTCTATAGAACTCATCACCTTCTAACTTACTATATAACTTTCTTATTTATTATGTTGTCTTATATCCTTCCTGTAGAATGTAAGCACAATGAAGACAGGGATTTTTGTATGTTTTTCATCAATGGAATGTATTCTCAGCACCTAAAATAGTGCCTGGCACATAGTATGGGCTCAGTAAATACTGGCTGAATAAACTCACTCTCCTGCCTTGGCGTTTCAGTGGTTTGATTAATTTCTTCCATCTTGGGCAGGAAGGGCTTGCTAGAATTTTTGCACACGTGTCTTTCTCATTGTTGACATAAATTTAGGCTAAGAGTTTTAGAAAGCTTTGGTCATAGTGTCCATTCGTATTTGTTTACCTGTTTGAAAGGGTCATAGACTAATGCGAATCTGAAGGTTGAACAAGGGGTGCTGCCCTTCCGTGTCCGGAGACTGTGGGAGTAACGTAGTAGGACTAGCTTCAGGTAGGACAGACTATATTCCTCCTTTGGAACAATTTTGAAAAACTTCGACAAGAGAGAAAGAAAGAAGATTATCTATTAGTAATTTTATATTCTGTAAAATCGTAACTAAGTTTTTTCCTTGATTACTAATGTCGTGAGAATGATAAAGATGATATTTCTTTAGAACATCATATCATTCCACTAGTGTGTCTTGTATCTTTCATTCTAGTCTAGCCAGATGATCAGACCTCACAGGTCTTGCTTATTCCTTCCAGACAAAGGTCCTATAACCTAATAAACTACATCAAATCAGTTTTTAATGCACTGATTTTTGTCGTGGCTGCATTGCAGTCCTGGAAAATGCAACTAATAGTGACTGCTTTTTGTTCCTCTCTTTTGACAGCCCACTTAGGGGAGGACTTAGCCCTAATGAAGAAACATTATTTGGCAAATAATCAGATCAATTTCCTTCATATTCCTGGCAATGAAATGTTAAGAGCCTACCTCGGTGTTACGTCACTTACATAGTGCAGAGTCCTCGGCAGGAGATTAAATTTTGAGCCAAAGATCCAATTTCATGGAAATAAAAAGTCTTTCCTAAGTGCATTAAATAGATCTTTAGTAGTTAATACCAATTAAATGCTGGGCGGTCTGAATCATGAATTATCCATTCAGACATGATTTTGTTTTTCTTCTTTAAACAACTCAGGTTTTTTTCAGGGCTGGGTCCTGTTCATTTCTTTTGGCCGTTCAGTCTTGAAATTTCCTGTGTTTTAGGAAGCAATGATGGGAAATGCCGTGCTAGGTCAGCAGTTTGTATAAAATAGGGGTTTGGACATGTCAGGTACTTTTATATTTGATCAACTGAGGACAAGCTTCGGGGATGTTCTTGGTAAAGTTACTTTAAATAAAAATAATACAAAATTGATTTAGTTTCAGTCTCAAGTCTTTTGACTGGCATGCAAAGAATACTGGTTAGCGAGGCGGTTAGAGACTGTTGTCAAAACAGAGTGGAAATAAATAGTTCTTTTCACAATGAAGCTGGTTATGGTTGAACTCTGTTGGATAATATATGCTGGTTTATATTTAAGACCCAGTCTACTTTCAGACCCAATCTACTCCCATCCAAAAGTGATTTTTTTGTACGTTGCTGTCTCTCCATGTTGATAGGTTAGGTCCTTGGAGATCCTGGACTTGCCATGGCCTATCTACTTTACATTTGCAAGGCCAAGGTCAGAGGTTTGAGTCATGATATAGTGCAGTTACTAAGATGACTCTGCATACTCAGAGAATACCTCTGTGCCAGGACTGTGATATGTGCCCTCACATGTTTGTTCTTTGCAGCCACTGTGAGACAGCTCTTCCTCTTTTCTGATGAGGAAACGTACTCAGAGCAGTTAGGTGGCTTGTCAGAGGTTGCCTGGTGAAGGAGTAGCACACCAGGATTTGAGACTTCCAGCTCCTCAGTAGTTGCTGTCTTTGGTGTCTCCTTCCTGCAGAGGAGATGCCAAACAAAAGAACAGGAATGAATGAGTGGAGCTGGGAGAGGGGAAGCTTTAAGTGCTTGCTGCTTGATATCTTTACATGAGGTTTTGGTTATCAAGGGTCTCCTGCTCAGCATCCTTAAGGAATGTCAATTATTCAGCATAAACCACATACGCGGAAACTGTCAGCTGCATAGTTGAATCCTCCCTTGTCTTTGCAATGGGATCTTTGCTGCATGCCTCACAGGATCCCACAGGAAGTTTGGGTGTATGGCCAACAGGGGGCTGTGTGGGGCGTTCCATCCCCTGGAGAGCAGAGTGAAGCAGTGTGGACCACCTGGAAGAGAAATCAGTGAGATTTCCTGGGTGCAGTTTGGAGAATCCTCGCAGGCCACAGTGTATGGGGATATCTGGGCAGCACGTGACCTGCTGCCCTCATGTCTGTATGTTACTAAACTCTGAGAGGAGAAAAGGAACAGATTTTTTTTTTTTTTACTACATCTAACTTTCCAGTTTGGGCTTAAGGTAGACCTGAGATGTCAGTGTACTTCTGTTGCTGACAATTCTGCATCTGATACACGGAAAGCAAGACTGGAGGCTGAGCAAGGCCCTGTCATCTTAGGGAATGCTTGTCATCACCCCTAAGTGACACTGAGTGGAGATTTAGAAACATTTTTATTCTCCAAAGCACTTGGACAGTCTGTTATCTAATCTTTGTTAGGTGGCTTGTAGAAGGATGTCACACAGCTCTTTTGCTTATTTAAATACTGTGAAAGACTATGAGTGGTGAAAAAAACCACCAGATTTCTTGAATCCTGTTTGTCTGACCTTTGATGAACTTTGCACTTTTAGAAAAGTCAGCATTTTTGGTAGTAGTTGCTGCTCATGTCCCTGAGTGCTGAGATTTTTCAGGAAATTTAGAAAGACCATTTTTCAATTCTTTTTTTAAAGTTAGACATCTCAGAGGGCGTGGCTGTTGTGTTTTCTTGTCACAATTCTGCACACAGATTTAAGAATAGGGTTGGAATGAAATGCATTACCTACATGGGTTATTAAAAATTAATTTAACAGGTAGTTTTTGTTTTGTGCCTATTTCTTGAGGGAAAGTGACAAATCCCTTATGACAAGTGCCCGGAGGATGTAGAGGTGGAAGACTTGGAACTTCATTTATCATCTGTGAACTTCCAGGGAAATGGGAGTTAAAAGGGAACAGGGTCTGGGTGTGGTAGGCCTGTTTGGAAGAGAGCTTTGGGGGCAGCCCAAATTCATGGCAAATCTCAGACAAGCTAGTGAGGAGTGGGGTGGGGCAGGGGTGGGTTCCTAGCCTTCAAAGTCTGGGTGAGGACAAAGGGAACAGCAAGCAGCCAGGGGAGGGCTTAAGTATTTGCCAATTATTTGGATTTTTTGAAAAATTCACTGGGGACAAGTTTACCTGCCTTAAAAATGCTGGAAAGAAGGGATTCCCCTAAAGTCTTTTCCAAAGAACTTTATTTTCCTGAGAACGTAATACACATGGGGGAAAAATAACAGTTGGAAGGTACAGAGGGGAAAAAAAATGTTTCTATCAGAAACAGCCTCTTGGCCAGTTTTTATATCCCTCAAGGGTTCTTGGTCAGTCCTGGAAGGTCAGCACCTCCTGAAAAGCCCACCTCCCAGAGGATTGGCACGTTTGCTCGGTCATTTCCTCCTATTTTTATGCTTATTCATCCTGTGGCCTGTGTTCTCCTTGACATGCTGAATTTCTTTTTTTTCCATCCTCCTGTGGGAAGAGATAACATTCTCCGGTCTTAATTCTTATCTGATAAGTTTTATTTTTAACCAACCCCTACATCCTTTCTTCTTTGCTTCTTATTTTCATGGGCCCCCACACTTCTCACCTTTTCTGGCTTTCTCAGAAGGTAGGAGCAGAACGTCTGGGTACAATGTATTGCGCCAGGGTTTTTCCATCCTGTCCTGGAACAGCTGCTTAGGGTGTTGGGAACCTGGCTTAGATTCCAAGGGCAGGGAAACTCCTCTGCACAGGGTCCTGTTTTCAGCTGGGCAATCTACTCTCACCTCCTGCTTCCCTTCTGGGCTGTCTGGAGGTTTCCTTTGGTCCGTAAATTTGTATTATCTTGATGGAGGAAACACGCTTGAAAAAAACCAGACAGCTGTGACTTGTAGTGATTAGTGTGGACCGAGTCTCCCATCAGCAGTGGCCTCGTAGACACTTAAGGCTCCCACAGTGTGACAAAGCCATGACTAGACAGGGTGATTCTTGGATTGAGATGAATGAAAGCAGCCAGTGTCCACCCAATTGAAGGGAGAGGTTTTATTTGGTTTGGTTTGTTTTTTTGCCCTGAGTCCTCTGACTGAGGCTTTCCCAGACAAGTGTGTTAGCAGTAACTGTGACCTTAGCTACGTAAGCATATATACATTCTTTTTCTTCTTTTTGGCTTTTGACCTGCCACTCCCCCTCCCCAAATATGACTAAATATGGCTGTGGCTGAAAGTTTTCCAACTAACACTAGGGGAAAAAGGAAGTTTTGAACCTGGGGAGGGCAGTGGAGTTTGCGTTCCCCAGAGAGGGTTGTGTGTGAGAATGCTCTTTCAGACTTGAACTTCATGGCCTCCAACGGCATTTTGTTCTCAATGGACCAGTTATCTCTCAAGTATCTCTTAGCTCTGTCATGCATCATGTATATAGTCACCATGCGTTTCCTATAACATAACACTGTAATAGGCACTTAGAAACAAAAACAAAATGAAATAAAAAAGGTCTGTAATGTAGCTTCACATTTTAGAAGACAATTAGCAAAGGATTTAAGAATACTACTAATAAAAAGAACCACTTAATCATGGTGTTGTGAATGATGTTGCAGCCATCAAGGCATCACATTGCAGCCACCGGATGGTGAGCCTGAAGGAACTCAGGATGGAGACAGGTTGCCTACCATCAAGCCCTCAGCCACTGCAGCCACCCCCAGTGGTGCACCGGAGAAGACTCAGGAGAGGAAAGCACAGGACACTGGCCCTAGATAGCTAGGTGCATATCAAAGGAATGATTTCTCTGGGCCCAGACTCTTGCATCTTCCCACATAGAAAAGCACTAAATTCCTTAACTTGAGGTGTCTGGTTTTCCTTAGTTAACAGTAATCTTTCAATGTTCTGACTGCCTGGTTGCAAAAACTTTCTGGTTCCTCCCCTACGTCTTCAGAGAAGTCCCTTAGAGCTGTCTGAGAAGCTGTCTTCTGGGCTTGAAGTCCTCAGAAAGTCCACCGAATAAAACATAATTCTCAACTTTTAGGTTGTGCTTTTTTTTTTTCTTTTTTCAGTCGTCAGTGTACCAACTGGGGTTCTGGGAGGAAATGGGTGACACCTACGAATTAGGATCATTGGAGGAAAGTTAAATAAAGGACTTTTCACCAAGGTGGGGAGCATGTAGGGAAACCATGAGAGACAGAGAAGGGCACAGTAAACAGAAACAGAGAGACTCCCTGACAGAAGGTGGGACCTTTACTGAAGGGACCCTGCAAGAAGGGTGCTGGGGGAATAGACACTCTTCAGACCCGCTGGAGCGCACCCTTGGCTAAGCACATCTAGAACTCACCAGTCAACTGCCCATTGACAGAGACATGATGCAGGTCAGGCTCCTGTGGCTCAGAGCAGGGTAGAGAGTATGGAGCAGCAAAAAGAAGATATCAATACAATGGCCTTCAGAGTTCTATGGGAGCCAGCCCTGCCTCCCTGTCATAGTCTGTAATTTTGTCTCAAGGTCTGCTTCTAATGGGGAGCCACCATACTCATCATGTAGGTAGCACTCTGGTGGTGTCTGTATTCAAAAGGAAATGTCACCGGTGTCCAAGAACATCACGAACAGCCTAAGGCTCACTGGACTAGCGTGGAAGCCATGAGAGAAAGCTAGGAGTAAGGACTCTCTCTTTCTGTCTGCCCCTCCCCACTTCCACCCTGCTCCTTCTCTCAGATGAGGAGTTTCTTGACACCCCAGGTATGCCACTTTCTTGCTGTGTGACTTTCCACTAATGGGACATTCCAGCTGCTTTCAGTTTTCCAACTCCCATGAAAAGAATATGATTTGCCAAGTTCATCTTTTGGGACCAGACCAGAAACCTGCACTGACAGCCCAGGGGACAGGTGTTACTAGGATTATGGAAGGAGGGGACGGGGTAGAATCCCTTAGTTCCTACAAGGGCTGCTTAGGGCCATTTCTCTCCGAGAGGGTGGGCAGATCACACAGGGTCACGTGCACACTCTGGGGCTTTGTGAAAAACAAAGTAATCCCAATTACCTGACCCTTAAACAGGTGAAATCTATCTTTTACTCAGGACATACTTAATTGGTGATAGGCTGCTTATTGGCCTCTTCGCACGTGCACGGACTTGTGAATCAGATTCACCTTACGACATCCAGGCTCTGAGAACCCGGATGCAGGAAACAGGTTTCAGTCGCTGACGAAGGAGGCGAAGGATGCGCACCGGGGCGCACGGGGCTGGAGGCGGGGCGCAGGAGCGGTGCCCTGCCTGGTGGCAGTGGCGAGGCACTTTCCGTCGTTTTGCAACAGTCGCCACGAGTGGGCTCTGCCTCCTACCTCACTCGGCTTGTTGGTAAGAGGGAAGGAACGGGTGAGTCGGTCTGACCCTGTGCCGTACAGGCTAGATCTCGTCTCTAAACTGTAATGGCGTCTGGTCTTGGGGGTGACCTAGACCAATGGAAGTTGCATTAACTTCATAAAGTTTCATCCTCAAAGAGAGTAACTACGGCATGGCCATTTCTTTCCCTATTAGGTTATGTCCACTGCTTCTTAAAAAAGAAAACAAAGGAAAAAAAAAAAGAGAAAAAAGCCACTCTGCATTTACCGTGTCTAGTTGGTATTTGCCCCAGATCCCAGCCACGTGCTTCTCCTGCTCCTATTAGAGTGCGCGGAGGGAGCGGGCCTGGGCTCAGAACTTTCCAGGCTGCCTTAGCCACGCCCACCGCTTCCGAAGGCGCGGCGCTCGCGGTCGTGAACCGCCTGCGCGGGCCGCATTCCTTCACAGCTGCTGCCCCTTTCTGAACAAACAGCCAAGCTCGGGCTTGGAGGCGTTCTTAAAGGTCAGCTCTTCCTCCCTCAGAAGCTTGGCCTTCTCCCTACGCTTCACCAGTGGCGTCTTTTCACAAGTCGAACTTTTTTTTTCCGCCTGACAAAACGCCTGTCACCGCCCTGGGGCCAGGCTGAGTGTCCGCTGCCCACGAGGTAGGAAGTGTGGTCACACAGCTGCCCAAGGTATGGACCCATGAGCTAGTTGGCTGTAGAGTGCTCAAGCTTGGAAGAGGTCCGGCTCTGAGATAAGGGAAAGAGACTAACTATGAAGGTGAGCCGCTCGGTTATAACGTTTTGGGGTAAATGGTGCGGCTTTTTGGGTGAAAAACCGCACAAGCAGGCAGGGCATGCTGTAAGCAGCTCGGCCCAACCGTGGGTCTTGCGCGTCCGTGAGATGAAGGTGACTCTCAGGGGCCCAGAGCACAGGTTGGTTGGGGTCTGACACTGATACTTCAGAGCAGCCTGGCAGGTAGTCGGGAGGCGACGTGGTGTAGCGGAAACCGTGTGGACTTGGGAGTCGGGCCTGGTTTTGAATTCAAGTTCAGCTTTTTCTAACTGCAACCTCTGTCTGCCTCAGTTTCCTCCTCTGTAACCTTGCCTCCACCCCGTCTTAAAAATTTTGTGATAACCCACGTACAAAGCCTTTCCGGTCCCCAGGAATCTCGGCTCTGCCTGCAGAGAGGATTTGGTGTCCTAAGGGCAAATGCTTCCTTGAGAGGCACATCGATATTTCCATTGAAGTTGGATGTTGAGAGAGCCACCTGGAGTCTCTACTGGGTACAGGGGCAAAAATGAGTGACAACGCAACCCAGTGTGGACCTGAGAGAGGGACACACTATCAGTCACCGGGCAGGGTCCAGAGAACTGCGGATGGTGGATGTGCAGGGCTTCTCCTGGGCTCCGCCCACAGGCTCCGATGCCTGTGATTAAGGTTAGCAGTCCTCGGGCAGCCCCGCTGGGAACGAGGGTTTAGGCAACGGTGCCAGATAACGAGCCCCTATCGCTGTGGAGCTGGTTGAAGGAAAAGTAGGTGCAGTGGAGAGGGAGTGAGTTAGGCAGTTACCAATTTACTGCCTCTCGGTTCCATTCCACCCTGAATTGCCTTGGCAAGGGAGCAAGGCTCTAAGCCTCCTGGCACAATGCTCAACAAATGTCTGTAGAGGATGCTGGAGGGACATCGCAGGAGGAAAGGAGCGGCTTCCAGTGTTCAGTGTGCTCCTAATTCTGCTTGCCCCAGGGTTGCCAGTTCATTAAGTGTGGGACACTCAGTGGTGCTTGCCCTCTAGCAAGCTGTATTGCCAGCCCCCAGCAGGAGGCTTTCTGTTTGCCAGCTTCAGCTTACCCACTTTGGACCAGCTCTGGCCCTGGGCACCTAGAGCTTCTCCACTCTCCGGTGGGCTGCAGCCTTGTCCTCTGGAAGGAGGTCAGAATCTCAGCCTGGAAAAGTGTGTTCCTTCCTTGGCTGTTCTTCCTCAGCCCTGGGGAATTCTTTCTCTATTAGTGACTACTCCCTATAAGTTGTTCTTACTAACCATCCCTGTATGGTTTCAAATATTTACTTTCCTGTGTAGTTTGTCTCTGTCTGGACCCTGACTGATGTACAATTGTCCCGGAGTTGTCCCGGTAGATCAGTGACCCCCCTTCCCCCTCCATCCACAAAACGAATGGCATTTGAGGATGTGTCTGGGCTTAAGCGCAGTGCTTAGCTCCTTGCCAATGGGAAAAGGGATGCTGGTAATCTGTGACATACAGGGCATCACAGTTAACCAAGCCATCACCTGTGGTTAATTGTGATGCAGTACTAATGGAAGCAAATGCCTTGGAATCCCAAGCAACTGCTGGACTGGACTGTTAATGGCAGTCATGAGGATGACAAGGACTGCATTGTGGGGTGGATTGTCCTGAGTATATTAGAGTATTTATGGAGAGGAAATGACAAACTTGAGTCCTTTAACTCTCAGCTCAAGTCACAGTCTGAGTATAGAATATCATAGAGCTTCTATTAAGCCCTGACAAGAATTATTTATTGTAGCCACAGAGCTGGTATCACTGAAATGCTATACAAAATTTAATTGTGTGTGTGTTGCTGAATTATGTTTGTTTAGTTCACAGTGATGCCACGTTACTTATGTTAAGGTTCAGGGCACTGACTGGGAAAGCATAGGATTCTGAAACATGGAATAGGAATATCTGGTTAGAGTCTGATAAAACTAACGATCTTGAAACCCCAAGTCACCCCAAGATTCTCTGGTCATTGGAAGAATGTTGCCCTCCAATATCTGAAGAGACTAGCCTTCCTGAGCTTGACACCCCATGCTAATGTCATCTAGGGCAGATGCCTTGAAAGTGGATGCTAGTTCTCAAGACTCACCACAACCAGCCCTGGTTGCCATTAGCCCTAAACTAGGATCCATTCCCAGTAGGCTCCAGGGATAGAGAGATACTCACATCTGGAAAAAAACAACTTGTACCACTTAACACACTAAAGTAAGACTTTGCTAATGTATCTGGAGAAACCTGGAGAATACGTGGGAATGGATTTTAAGGCTGTGAGACCTACTGTGTCTATGGATTTTCCTCATGTTTTTACAAGGCTATTTGCTTTATGTAAAATTTTTGAAATTCTGGAGATAATGCATAACTGTTTGTGACTCTTATGAGTTTTGTGGATGTTGTAATTTTTTAAAAAATAAAAATATTCCTCATTGTTTTCTGTTAGCGACAGTTGCCTCAAACTCTTTTGCCTGAGATTAACATTCCCTAGCCATTTTCTGTTAAGTTAGCATTTTCTGATAGGTTTTTTCCATCCCTTTATTTTCAGTTTACTTTTGGTGCCACTTTAGGGGTATCTCTTATAAATAGCTCATAGCTTTGCTTCCCCTCACACAAGCCATCTGTTACTGTCATGTGTTTGGATTGACATGCTGTGTTTTACCATGCTTGTTTTCTTGTTTGCTTTGTTCCTTTCCTGTTTTTGATCACTTTTTTTGCTTTTGTTCTTGTTTTTTTACTCCAGTGGTTCAGAAACAATAAACTTTTTCTACTGGCTAACCTTAACTTTTTGATGCATATCTAAATATTTTTCTATTCCCCAGAGTTACCCAGAATCTATAGCTTCCTCTTGCACAAAATAATAATATTTGCATGCTTTTACTTCCTACTTCCTACATTCCATCCACTTATCACATTAAGATAATCTTGGATATTAGTTGTAGGGTGATTTTTTTTCCCTGTAGTAAAGGGTTTTTAGAGAATTTATTTTTGGGTTTTTTTTAATTGCTTTCTTGATTGCCATTATATTTTGTATTTCATGTCTTCCTTTTAGATTCATCATTTTTTCCCTTGAGCAAGAGAATATCCTTTAGTATTTCAGAAGGTGCTCATGGGTGCTAAACTTTGGGTCCTTGCATGTCTGGGTTTTTCATCCTCTTATTTCAATGCTCCTTTGGCCACGTGGTCTATCAATAACAGATTTAGGTTAAAATCTCACTGCAAATGTAGATTTTTTTCTATTCTTATAGTTGTATCAATTTTGGTTTATATATTGACGCCCTCTTATTAGACATACACATTTTGGGGATTTTTAAAATAACTTCTTTGTGCATTGAACTTTTTGAAAAATTATGAGACAACTTCTGGTAATGCTTTTTGTTTAAAATTTGTCTTGTCTGATACTTATAGAGGCAACTGAGCTTTCTTTTTCTAATCTTTATTTTCAATCTTTTAGTTATCCTTAGGTTTAAATGTGACCCTTACACACTGCATATACTAGCTGGATTTTATCCCTTTATCTAGCATAACAATGTTTGTCTTTTAGGTAAATGAATCTTAGTTAAATTTTCCCCAACTTTTTATTTTTAAAAATTTCAAGTCTACAGAAAACTTGAAAGAATAATAAACATCAATTAGATTCACCAATTATTAACTCTTTGCTACACTCTGTATATGAATATGTGTATATGCAAATGCATGTGTACATATAATTCATTTTTGTGTGTATACACACACGTACACAGACACACGCAGGTACTTCAAATTGGTTGAGAATTGAGCCTTTGTTTCTTAAGAACATGGGCCGTTCTCCTGCCACAAGATAATTATCTCTCCAAAATTTAACATTGATACAATATTATCACTTAATATATAGTCTATATTCAGATATGCCCAATTGTCCCAATAAGGTCTTTCAAATTTTTTCTTCCATGCAGGATCCAGTGAAAGGTCATGGACCACGTTTAGTTTTCCCTGTAAGTAGAATAGGTCCCTGGCCTTTTTTTTTCCCCCTCTATCCTTTTTCCTTTTCCCTTTCTTCTCTCTCTTTCCCTCTTTTTAAAGGATCCACCTTGTCCCCCTCACTGTGGTGTGTTAGGGGTGCAAGACAGTTTGTCCTGTTAGGACTGATCCTAAGTTTGAACACTTGGTTAAGGTGGGTGTCTGTCAAATTTCTCCACATTCTGCTCCCAACAATCTCGTACCCCATATTTTATCATCCATTGGGGATTTCTACTGATGTGAAATAATGATTTTCTATTTCTGTCATTCCTCCTACGCTTGTTAGTTGGCATCTACTCTAAGGAGAACTTTTCTTTTGCTTCTCTTGCCCCATCCCTTTAAAAGGAAAATTTCAGGGTCAGTGTGGATTTATGCATGCTTTGTTTATTCAGCATTATAATCTATTCCTGTTGCTATTTGTTTTGAAATTTAAATGCGCCCAGATTTGGCCATTGTGAGCTCCTTTAAGCGTCTGAGTCATGGGATCCTGTGTCTTTTTGCTGGTTCTCATCAGTTTGAAGCACTGTTTGACTCTCTGGCACAGTAAGATTTTTGAGATTTCCTTTTTACTTTTCTTGTCTCAGTCCTGAAATCAGGCGTTTCTCCAAGACACCCTGCTGTTCCTTTGTAGTGGGGAATAGCATTCCAGACTAAGATCTGGATGCTAGGTGTGCTCCTGGTACAGAGCTGGGATTGCTTCCAGGCTCTTTCTGTGGAAAGAGCTGAGAAATCTGAAATCTATACTGATGGTTTCATCCTAACACCACAGGGTTTTTACTGTCCTGCTCACGTTGGATATTTGTACCTCCTTCCCATAGTAAGAACCCGGGTTTCCAATGGCATATTTGCTTGGTCCTGCAATAAACTCAAAATATTTCATAATTACTTCAACAACAAATTTAATATTTTAAAATCAGATTTAAAAATTTTCATCAAATTTAGGATTTTTTTGTCCTAAGACTGAATTGTATTCCATTGAGGGTGTATTGTCAGAGTGCTGTGTTCAGAAATTTTTTTTTCCTTCTGAGTAATTATGTATCAATGTGATATGTGGTTTTGTTTCTATTTGTATTCAGTGTTAGTTTTCCCCATTCTTGTTTCAATTTATTTTTTGAATGTATAAAAAATTAACATGGTTCAAAAGTCAAAACTCTGTTAAAAAAAAAAAAAAGTCTACTTAAAAGTCCCATTCCCTTCCCTGTCCCTTCCGCCCCTGAATACCAAGCCCTCCACCCTGCTAGGCCACTGATTTTATTTCTCAATATCTTTTGTGTTTAATTTTGCAGAAATGTGTACATTCCTATTTTTTTCTTTTTCAACAAAAGGTGACATGTAATTTTTGCATATTTTTCAGTTAAGAATATATCCTGAGAATCATCCTATATCAACTCGGAAATTTTCTTTATTCTTTTGTACATGCTTTAATTCAGTTAAATATGATCACTGTTTTATTTGGGCTTAAATCTGATGTCTTATTTTGTGCTTTGTACTGATTCTGCTTTGTTGCACTCTTCTTTTTTGCATCTCTTAAACTATTTTATAATTCCATTTTTCTCTACTAGTTTAGACAGTATACATTCTGTTCCTCTCGATGCTATTCTAAAAATTACAACATGTATCAAAGTCTAAAGTTAATTGGTAACTACCCTTCTTCTGGAAAATGCAATGACCTTTCTATATTTAAAACTGGCCAGGTCTACTTTATGCATAAAGTGTTGATTTAGGTGAACTCACAGATCTTCTCACATCTCTGATTTTCAGTTTGGGGAGCTAAGGAGCATCTGTTAGATTTCCTTTATTTGGGTGATGAGTTCTATTGTGTGGGAATGTGTCTTTATTTCACCTTTGTTCTAGAAATATTTTCACTGCAAATTGAATTCTAGGTTCACAGTGATCTTCAACAAAAGATCATTCTACTGTTTTCTGTCTTGTTGCTGTCAGTTTGACACTCTTCTTAAGAGAATCTGTTGGTTTTTCTTGAACTTCATTGAAAAGTATCTTCCTTGTCTTTGGTTATCAGCTGTTTTACTATGATACGTCTAGGTGTGGATTAATTTTTATTTATTCCAATTGAAATTAATTGAGCTTCTTGAATCTGGATTGGTTGGGAAAATTCTCAGCCATTATCTCTTCAAATGTGCTCTGTCCCATTGTCTTCTTCAGGGAACCCTGGTTGAATACCCTTGATCTCATATCTGTGTTTTCTACTTCTTACCAGCTCTTCTGCATTCTGTTTGTCTCTTTGGGCTACATTCTGGATAACTTCTTTTGATTTTTATCCCTAACTCATGAATGTGCCTGATCTGCTATTAACTTATCCACTGAGTTCTTAACTTTGGTTATCACAGTTTTAAATTCTGGAAGTTCTGTTTGGTTCTGTTTCTCATTTGCAGGATCACTTGGTAAAAGTTTCCTATTCCCTGCAGATGGAGCATATCTTCTATTTTACTAAACATAATAAGCAGGATGCTTTTACAGTCGGTCTGAATTGTGTGGGTCTGTATGTGTCCGTGTGTGCACACATGCCTGATTCTGCTCTTCTCCCCCGTGGCAACATGTTAGCGTGCGTCTTCATCATTGATTCTGGACTATTGTACTTGGAATTCTCTCTGGGAAGAAGTGGAGAACTAGAACACAGCTCCAGTCTTCCAGAGAGCATTTGAGTTTGCTTCTGCTTGGCGCCTGGGGGCAATTCTAATTCAGGATCACTCTAATCTCAGTTTAAGCCTTGAGGTCTGGGTCAATCAAGGATGCAAGATCTCACAGAAGACCTGGATTCCTTTGGTTCTTCCTTACCTTTGGGCCCCAGGTTTATTGAGGGGAGGGTCTCCCATTAGACATCCCACCTTGTGTGAGTCTGAGCTTTGATATGTGTCCCACTTGCAGCCAAAAATCATTCACATACAGGTTCAAGTCTAGTAAGAACGACAGATCCTCTCAGGACAAAACTGGCTTCTGTGCTCATTTATCTCTGGAGTTCCTTTTGTTCTGGTTATTTCTAACTATGGTGTTAACCTTGTTTTACTTTGAAGAAAGATGTCTGCTTTTCTTATTTTTTAACACTTTACCCAGAGATTTTAGTTTTTGTGTATGCAGGAGGGCTTGTCCAAATATCCTAGCCCATTATTACGGAGAATCTGAAGGCTTCTGATTTCCTGTGACAAAATATTCTCCCTACTTTGACTTTTGGAGCGTGGGTATTCTTCAGTTTTAAGTAACCATTTCTTATTTTCCAGTGCTGTGTGTGTAGAACACATAGAAAATGAGAGAACAAAGCTATTCTGTGTCACACACCTTATTAAGTACTTTATAATTAGCTCTTACAGCAACCCCAGGAAATGGTAGTGTTAGTGATGGCTATTGTCTTCCCAGTTTATGTAAGAGGAAAATGAGGTTAAATAACTTCAGCAAGGTCATAAAACTATCAGGTGGCCAAGCCATTGCCTCAAGTCAAGGTCTGACACCACAGCCTGGGTTCTTAAGCACTTCATCCTAGGGGACCCATTTATAGCAATTTAGCAAGTTACTATAATCAAAATCATTAGAGATGTAATCACTTAGAACTCAATTTTGACTCTCAATATGCACAGATGCTGTAATATTCATGGCATTCCTAGTCAAAGCCACGACTCACACCAATCCTTAGCTTGTGTCTCCGTATGTACGTGGGTCTGCGCATCTCATCTCAACACCATCTACAGAGACACTGGCAAATCCTTGGTCAGGGCAATGATATTTCCATTTTTTTCTCCTTCCCATTCCCTGCCCGAATCCTTAATGCAGAAGGAGGCAATAGACTTAAGCCTGCCATCATGTTGCAATCTTTCGTTAACATTTTTTTTTAACATAAAAAGCTATTAAGGGTACAAATTTTCCTCTTAATGGCTTTGACTGTTCCCATGGGTTTTTATATGAAATTACGCAGTATATTGGTTAAGGATGTATGCTTTAGAACCAGGCTGCCTCGGTTCAAATTCTGATTCTGCTACTTATTAGGCAAGCTGTTTGACCTCTGTGTGCCTCAGTTTCCTCACCTGAAAAATGGAGATAAGGACTTTGACCTCCTAGTGCTATTATAAAGAGTAAGGGTAAAGTGGTTAGTGTTTGACATGCAAATTATAATTAAATGCTTATGCTTAGTAATTTTTTCGTTATTTCTGAATAACCTCTAACTTTAGGATTTTTTAAAAATTTGCTATTTGCTGAAATTTTCAAATAATTAGTACCTACATATTTGTTTTTTAATTTATTTTGCTTTATTGCATATTATAAGTCTTAAGTATTTCAGTAATCTAATATCTGAACAAATTTTGTGAAACATTAGAGAATTTGTTTTCTTTTTTTTATTGAAGTATATTTGACTTATAATATGCAGGTTTCTGGTGTATAGCATAGTGATTCAGTTATATATGTATATTCCTTTTCATATTCTTTTTCATTAAAAGTTATTACAAGATACTGAATATAGTTCCCTGTGCTGCATAGTAGGACCTTGTTGTTTATCTATTTTATACATAGTAGTTTGTATCTGCTAATCCCAAAGTCCTAATTTATCCCTGGCAATTTCTATTTTCTAAAGAATACAAAGTTATTTGGGTATACTTAGATGTCTATTAAATCATATTTGTTAATATTAATTTTTTATACTTTTTAGTCCACTAGATCTGAAAGTCAGAAATTCTTTATAGTATCTCCAAAAATGTGTATTTTGGATTTAGGCTTTTTTTTTTTTTTAATGTTACTCTGTCATTAGTGAATGCATGTCATCTCTGCTCAGGGAAATAGTTTTCTATTCAGTTGCCACTTTTCCTCTCCATTCTTTTATTACCATTTCCCCAGAATCCATGAGAGTCAAATTTCGGCCTAAGACGAGGCTGCTCTTTCTGGGAGCTGGAGGAACCTGTGCCGGGGCCGGCAGTGCTCCCTGTCACTGGAGCGGCACCCGCAGAAACAGGGACTGTCATGTTGAGATATTGGCATGAGAAGGTGGTGGACACTGATGCTATTAGGCTTGCATTTGCTTATTTTTAAACCATTGTATTTCTTTGGCTTCAAATAATACAACAACTTTCCTCTTACTCCCAGCAGCCTAAGGAGGAAGCCAAAGAAGCAACCAGAAATAAGATTGTACGCGAAGAGACAGAAAGAGGTAAGAACACTCTCCAGACCTTCTTGGTTGGGGGTAGCTCTTCAGAGGTCGTGTTACTGAAACTCAGAGGCGTGTTACTGAAGCTCATAAGAGGTGACATTGCAGACACGGTGCCTGCTTATTCTCTGGCTTCTGTGAGAATTTGCCCTCTCCACACTCTACCTGTGAAAGTTGCTAGGCAGCAAGGAGATAAAAGCGTTAGAGGATGTGACCGTTTTCTTGCAACTCTTTGTCTGTTTCTACCCACACAGAGCAAAGCAGCTTTCCTGTGGGGATTTATCTTCAAAAGCAAAGCATTCTCGCTTTTGCTTCTCTCCTGACATTGTTAGTAGTAATGGAATGGCCCGGTTTTCTAAGGCTGCAAAATCAAGGGAGCACAACCTCTGCATTTAACTGCCTGGGCGAACTCCTGCCTTGAACGCCTGCCCCTTCAATCGCAGGACTTCCGAGGTGGCTCAGTGTGGGGTTTGGTGCTGTACCAGTGGAAGGAGTCAGTTGGCTACTAGACTTTCTCTTGGCAGCTCTGAACTTTTATTCCACATGTTTGCTTGCTTGCTTGCTTGCTTTTGTAGAACTGTTTTTGTGTAAAAGTGGTATCCTTTGTCCACCATCAGCTGGATTTGTCTTTTTGAATTGTCACTCCAGTAGTGATGATGGATTTGCTTTTCCATACTCTTGATCTAGCAACTACAGTATATCTGAAAAACAGTTAGCTGGTTTTGGGGGAAAGACCTTGACTCTCCTGTCCTTTTTAATCGTGTCTGTTTGAGACAATATGAAATGCTACTTCAATTTTATCCTTGGTCTTAATTTCCCATTACATTATGCTATGAATTTCAAGGAATTCATCACAAACTGCCTTTGTAGCTATTAGTGAGCATATTTTATTTTGTTTGTTGTTGTATGTATCTTTGGGAAAATGAAGAACCTGACCGAGTATATTTTACAAAGTAGTCGTTTAATAGCAGTTGCGTAAGTGAGTGCTTATGACCCCGATTCTGATCAACTGTGATTATGACACCAATTCCAATGTGTGTGTGTTTTAAACACACAACCAAGCAATTCTGATACCAGCTGGGTGTCTCACAACTTAATTCTGACACCGTCTACTTGGAGAGAGCGTCAGATCACACAGGTTAAGGGCTCAGTCCTACCAGACTCGCTCCCCACCCCTCACTTCAGCCACCAGTCGCAAGTCCAGGTCACCACTTGGGCTTCTGACTGACCTGCTTTAGATGGGAAGTTCCAACAACCCCTTCTTGGGTTTGATTAATTGGCTTGAGTGGCTCACAGAACTGAGAGAGACATTTTACTTACTAGATTACCGATTTATTATAAAAGGATATAATGTGGAAATAGCCAAATGGAAGAGATGCATAGGGCAAGGTGTGGGGAAAGGGCCCTGAGCTTCTCTGCTCTCTCCCAGCATCTCCACATGTTCACCCACCCTGAAACTCTTTGAACTCTCTCCTTAGGGTTTCATTGCAGAGGCACGATTGATTAAATCACTGGCTATTAATGACTGAACTCAACCTCCAGCTCCTCCCCTCCCAGGAAGTTTGGGGACAGGGTAGGGGCGGGGGTGAGGGCAGTGGGACTGAAAGTTCAACCCTCTAATCACGTGATTGGTTCCCCTGGCAACCAGCCCCCATCCTTAGGTGCTTTCTGAAGTCATTAACATTAGCAACACCTTTATTGCTCTTCTCACTGGAAATTCCAAGGGTTCTAGGAGTTCTGTGCCAGGAACAGGAGGAAGATAAAATACAGGTGCCCTGCTATACATCACATCATCACAGTGATCATATCTGAAGTGTTGTTGCCGTTGAACAATGTGCTGTCTCCATCTGAGCTACTGGACCAGCCTCTGGACAAAATAGTGTATTTCCATTAGCCTCCCTCTTGGGGCGTGTGTGTGCACATAGAAAATTCTGTTTTTGGGTTTTGTTTTAAAACATGATTCAGGGTCCCTTTTCCCTATGTCTGAGGGCTGGGAGTAGGTGTGCCAACATTCAACTCTGCAACTTTCCCTTTTCTGTTTTCCATAGCCTACTCTGTTGATGGATTATTTTCATGTTAGGTTGTAAATATCTAACCACAGTGTATATAATCAACTTCTTACAGGTCCAAGGGTCATTCTTGTGCGATGACTATCTGTCTCAGCCATTTTTTATTTCTAGTTTAACTCTGTTAAAGGTCTTGGGTGCCAGCACATCGAAGCCCCCAACAGGAACAGATGACCATACGATCAAATTAATTAACAGTCCACTTACAGTCACTTCTGTCACATGTAGAATGAAGGCATTTCCTCTCTTGTGGCAATGACTGGAAATCTTGTCCACATCTTTATTAATTAATCACTCAAGCAGGATCTCTTGAGCATGACCAGTATTTATTGTACCACTATGTATACTATTGAATATACAGAAAACACTAGGTTCCTGAAGGGCTATCCAGTCTAGCTGACTAGGCAACATATACCCCTGTGAAATACTCAGTAAGTGAGCCGGTGGTATATAATCAACATTATCAGCTACTCAAGAGAAACGCTTCGTCAGGCTGTGTGTGCTGTAGGTCTTCATGAAGAACCACCTGGGGTGGTGAGAGCGTTCATCTCCTCCATGCTGCTCGGATGCAGAGCAGCTCTGGTGTGATTTCAGCTGGGATTCAAGGAGCACTCTTTGTCACTTCAGGAGTTTTGATGCTTTGGGAATAGCAGTCAGCCCTTTGGGAGCCTCAGGTCAACGGTGTTGAGGCACGATCCTTCCGTGGTGTGTAGGAAGCCAACATCCAGGAGGATACTGAGGCAGAAGGATGGGAACATGCTTGTTTGAACACCTAAGAGGTCCCTTTGAGTGGTCCAGGAATGAATGGGGAAGATGAGATTTACACCAGCAGCTAACAATGATGATCCAGGGAACTTGGGGTATTAATATTGCTTCAGTGTTAATTGAGTGCACAGGATGGTGGGGCCTGAGGACATTCAAAGTAAAATAAATCTCATTTCTATTCCTTCCTTCCTTCCATTCATGTTGCTGCCATAAAAATGTAGGCCTTCTGGGGTGTGGGGTATATAGCTCAGTGGTAGAGTGCATGATACAGCACGCATGGTCCTGGGTTCAGTGCCGATACCTCCATTAAGAAAAGTGTAGGCCTTCACCATTTTATATCCAGTTCTTATCTCTATAACAGGCTCTCTGCAGGTCTCCTTCTCCTCACCTTGGTCAGCCCCAGTCCATTTTGGTCCACTGCCAACTTGAGCTAAAGTGCAGCTTTTGTCACATGGTTAGAAACTTGACTACAAGGAGATGGACACACTCATTGGAGCTTCATGATTGGCGTGATGGAGGGGAGCAGGAGACCTTTCCTAGCCTATTCTCCGATCCTTCCCATGCCGTCCCCTCACAGATACACAAAAGAGAGTGTGGCTTTGATGACAATCCTGGCATGTTAGTTGAGTTCATCCTCATCTTTGGGGTTTTTTGTTTATAAGATCATTAAAAATAGGCAGTAGCACTGGGAGAAATCATGAACTAAAGCTGTTTAACAGCTAACTTCTTAACTAAGGTAAAGCCTTACCGAAAAATTGGTAGCAAGAATTACTATTGTCCACAGATTTTCAAATTTGAGTCATATCAGCATCACAGATATCTGAGGCTGGCTACCCTAGAAGTGGATCCTGAGACAAAAATTCAAGGTGCATTTATTTTATTTACGGAGTGTTTTTTCAGGAGAAAAATCTGCAGGGGGGTGGGATAAGGTAGGGAAAGAAGCAGAGCAAGGAATGTAGTTTCAGGTAAAGCGTAGCTCATCCATGTGGATGGTGAGAGGAGTGGTCTAGAGTGTAAATCACACTGTCTTTTCTATCATATACCAGTATCTTATACCCTGTTATTTTTTGGCAACGTTGGTGAGGTGGGATTTGTAGCCTTCAGGGCAGAATAGTTTCCCTTGGCTGAGAGTGTATTTCCATAGACAGGTGCCTGTGAGCTATTATTAGCCAGTACTCATAGCAGCTGAGAGAATATGTACAACCCAGTAAAAACAAACAAATGAAAACAAAGGTTTGGGTGGGACACTTGGAGCATTAACTACAACCTAACCTGTTCAGATTCACTGCCTCTCACATTGAGCTCATTTCGTGATAGCATAGATTTTCCAGAATTCTGGCTGGCCAGTCTCTAGGACAATGTACAAGAGGAGAGTGAGTGGGAAGAGTACAGCCCCACTGGTGTGGCTGGTCCTGAAGTCACAGCTAATACTCGTCCTAGGTGATTCTCGCCCTCAGCTACCATTTCTGCTTGTCTAGATGGCTTATTTGATGGGATGACCCAAACTCTCATCCCTGAGGGGTCTGAACCCAAGAGTCCAGCTCCTGTTTTCATCCTCTTTTGTTTGTCAGCTGGCCGTAAGGTCACAGGTGTGAGCTGAGGGAAGGGCACTGGTGGAATAGTGATGGGGTGGTGGGAAGCTGGGATCCCTGTTCTTGCAGCTTGTTTGTGACCTCTAGACCTGCTTGAGCCTGATCCCAGATGTGCCACTTTACTCACATGGTGGATTGCTTCTGAGCCTACATGGGTCATGACGGGCATTTACGGCACATGGTCACTAGATTTCCCATGATAGGATGCCCTGTCTCTAACCTACCAGGAGCTATTTCTCAAATGGTATCTAATTCCCTCTCCACCCTGTACACACCGAACCCTAACGATCTGTGCGGTGACTCTCAGAGCTTGCCTGAAACTTCACAAGACACCTTTTCCCACCTGTGGTGTACCATTGAATCTGCCTCAATAGGATGGTCCGAGTGTCAGGGTTGCTTATACCATGGTTTAACCTGCCACTGATCCTTTCCTTACTTTAGGCCCAATTCAGGAATGAGTCTTCAAAATGATTTGATTAAATGAGTCTGAACAGTATTCCCAAGTGTGAACAGTGTTATCCACAAAGTCCAAAGGGGCCCATCAAGCATTGTGATTTTTCCTTTAGTAATAGGAAGTACA